AATGCACTGTATGGTCTTAAACAAGCTCCTAGAGCTTGGTATCAAAGACTCACTGACTTCTTACTTGACATACAATTCAATAGAGGAGAGGCAGATAGAACTCTATTTATTAGAAGAACAAATAATCATATCATTATTGTTCAGATATATGTTGATGATATTGTTTTTGGCTCTACTTGTGCTAATCTTTTGCAGTCTTTTGTAGATTCTATGTCTCACACTTTTGAAATGAGTATGGTAGGGGAGTTGAATTACTTCTTAGGACTCCAAATCAAACAGACAGGTGAAGGAATATTTGTGAATCAAAAGAAGTATGCTCTCAATCTGGTCAAAAGGTTTGAGTTGGAATCAGCCAAGCACATGAAAACTCCAATGGGTTCCAGCCAAAAACTGTCTAAGGATGATGTTGCAGAAGATGTCGACAGCACTCTCTACAGAAGCATGATTGGAAGCCTTCTGTATCTAACAGCAAGCAGGCCTGACATTATGTTTAGTGTTTGTGTGTGTGCCAGATATCAAGCTAATCCCAAGGTCACTCATCTTAAAGCTGTGAAGAGGATTATTAGGTATGTTGCAGGTACAGTAGACTTAGGGATTCAGTTTTTCAAAGACACAAATACAAACTTGATAGGCTTTAGTGATTCTGATTGGGCTGGGGATATTAGTGACAGAAAAAGCACTTCAGGTGCATGTTTCTTTTTGGGGAATAATCTGGTTTCTTGGTTTAGTAGAAAGCAAAATTGTGTATCTCTATCAACAGCAGAATCAGAATATGTAGCTGCTGGAGGGTGTTGTGGTCAACTAATTTGGATGAAACAAATGTTGGGGGATTATGGGTTAACCAGTGATACCCTGACCATATATTGTGATAATTCAAGTGCTATTGACATTTCAAAAAATCCTGTTCAATACTCACGAACTAAACACATAGATATTAAACATCATTTTATTCGTGATATAGTTGAGAAAAATATTGTGTGCTTAAAGTACATTCCTACAGAAGATCAGCTGGCTGACATCTTTACAAAGGCATTAGATTATGAGAGGTTTTCAAAACTCAGAAAATCTCTCGGGATGTGTACTCAATAAACATGTCCTGAAACATGTTGCAGCACCTCATCAAATATCTTAAGCTGCAACACATTTACTGAAGCATTAGCTTCATTAAATAATAACTTCACTGTGGTGTATTATTTTCTAAATCAGTAACTGGAAGTCTTTCACCTTGAAACGTGATCATGCTTCATGTAAACATTTAGCCAATAATTACACTCACATAAGTCAAACTCCTCTATTTTGATAGTCATATCTTAGTAACTGAGGAACCTTCAAACTGAACACTTGATCATGTTCCATGTGAATTGTTTGACTTGAAAATAAGAGTTTATATATATAAATATATTATAAAAAAAATATATATTTAAATATATATATATATATATATATATATATATATATATATATATATATATATAAAGAAATATAATAAATATATGGATAATTGTATCTATGTCAGTCAGCTATTTTTTTTCTCTCTATTAATCATTAATAAATGTGTTTTTCTATTA